CCCGAAAGGCTTTTTCCTTCACTGTGTACACCACTTTCGTCCTTGTATTATAATTTTTTCGATTTTTCTCTTCGATTCTTCCTATGTTTGCTTCAATTCTTCTTCAATTATTCAATTCTTCATCAATTCTTTAATTGAGAAAAAGAAAAAAACAATAGAAGAATTAAAATTTAAGAAAGAAAAGAACCAAACAATAGAACACTAGAAGACAAAGAAGAAGAGTTGGAGAAAAAGAAGAATCAAGGAAGAAGTTGGAGAATAATGGAAGAAGAATCAAAGAGAAATTTGAAAAACCTGCAAATTGAAACCATGTCGCTTCAGTTCTTCTCTCCTTTTCTTTTTTTACATTTCCAAGCAGCCCACCTTTTCTTTTTTTACATTTCCATTTTCCAAGCCGCTCTCCTTTTCTTTTTTTACATTTCCATTTTCCAAGCCGCTCTCCTTTTCTTTTTTTATATTTCCAAGCCACACTAAACAAGTGCTAGTGCTAGAAAATTTACACCTGCAATTAAATTGCCATCTGGTGGCAACACTCCCAATGACAATAAGCACTCCCTACTTTAATGCATGGTTTAATTTAAATACAAATGTTTTTTTATCTTTCTATTTAACCACTGTCTACTAATTTTTTTTTTAGAATTTATATTTTGAATTTTTCTTAAATATTTGAACTTAAGTTTTTAATTTTTCTTAATTATTTAAGTTAAACTTTATTTGCACATTAAATAGTTGTACAAATATTTGCATCTAGAGTATTTTATTTTTTACTAGAATTACTATAGATAATATTTATTTATTATTTTATTAAGTGCGCCTCGCTTCAGTTAGGCGTCGCCTTTTTATCGCCTCTCGCCTCAAAGCGATCAAAGGACTTGTCGCCTTGAGGTGCGCCTTGCGCCTCGAAAACACTGGTTTCATGGGCTTTTTAAATGAAAAGCAAATAATAAAAAAAAATTAAGCAGAAGACAGAAGGTAGAAGATATCTAATGTCAATAGGTAGAAAAGATATTAAAAACTAAGGATAGAGACACCAGAGAGACATACACGAGAAAAGAGAGAAGAAATAAATTCTCAAATTGATTGATGATGAGGAATAGATATACTATTTATAGGTTACAAGAGGAAACAAAATCTAGGAATAACCTCCTAACTTCCCTAACAAAAAAGGAGATTTATTTGCTAAATTTAAACACAAAATCTAAACAACTTTAAAACAACTTCTAACTAAGTCCATAAAATCTTAACTTCTAACTAATTCAACACCCCCCTCAAGCTGGACTATACAGATTGAACAGTTTCAGCTTGATCAACAATCTTTCAAACACGGGCCTCAAGAGTCCTTTTGTTAGGTTATCTGCAGCTTGATCTGATGATGGAACATACATCAGATTTATAATTTTCTCTTCAATCTTCTCCTTGATAAAATGCCTGTCAACCTCAACATGTTTAGTACGATCATGATGCACTGGATTGTGTGCAATAGCAATTGTGGCCTTGTTGTCACAATAGACTTCCATTGAACTATCAAACCTGATYTTGAGTTC